TTATATAAACAGTTATTTTTGCAAGTTTACTTTCAGTAACTTTTGCATCCAGAAACATTAAGGTATTAAATAGGGTTGTAGTAGCTTAATGGGAAAGGGACTGCTCTGGGAATCAGACCAGCATTCAAATCTACTACTACATGCTCCTAACCAAGGCACTCAACCCTAAGTTGCTATAGGGTTTTGTCCCTGTAATTATGTAAGTCACGTTATGTAGCTGTCGCTTTTTATCCAAAGTTAAAGTAGATAAATGATTATTTGACCATAATACTTATAGCCAATAATTATTATATTTTATTAATTTAGCACAACAAACAAAATTGTAAACAATTTTGCATATAAATAAAGCTGAGAAGTAACAAACTCACCATGACGATTTATTTACACATGGGCAATTTTAAACACAAGACATTTTAGAAATTTCACATCAAACCAATGGACATTTTGAATAAAATGTATAAGACATTAAACAGGAAAACTTGTAACAAGGATCACAAGGTATGAAAGTTCATTAATCATCCGCAGAGATACTTTCCTTTGAGGACAGTTCATTTTCTGATCCCGATTCATATGAGGAAGGAGTGTTGTCAGATAAGACACCAGGTGACCTTATGTTATTGTTGGTCAAAGAAGGGCTTTCACATGACAATTCTTGGGGCTCAGCTTGTGGAAAGAGTTCAGGATGTTGCTAAAGAAAAGTATCTTTTCAGTTTCTCTTTGTGGCACCAGGTCTATCAAAGCATTCCGCTGCCTCTTTGAGACGTTGCTGTCCCCATCCAACTTGGCATTGGGCTGTTTCAACTGTAAAATAGATGTAGCATAATCAACATTAGCAAAATCAAAGTAATGGAATAAAATCAATATGTGGAAACAAGAAAGATTAAAGCATATACTGTACAATACAATAATACTCATGTCTTCAACTGATGTAACAGGGAAACCCTTCACATCCAAAGGTAGTTTGTTTTTGCTCGTATTTGTGGAATAGAACTGCTCATTCTTTTGATGATTTTTAAAGCACACGTCACATTTAATTATTAATTTGACTTAAACAGTAATTTTGTTTTTCTTCAAGCCAAATGTGTGTGTATATAAATTGAGTCTTCTATGCAAAACTTGTATTTGCAAAATACTTCTTTGGTGTATCTACATGTGTTTGGTGTCAGATAAATCATCATTACACATAAATTTTAATAGCTTTCTTTCTTAAACCCATATCTATTAATAAACATATATTTTGCATGCAACATAAATATACACACCAAAAGTTGCTCCAGTTTTTTTAAAGGTCATGGAGAGGGTATGCTGACTAGAACCATCATGTTCTGCACTGGAATCACTAGACATCTCACAAGGCCCTGTAAGTGGCATGGGATGCATGTCTGGGATGTCCTCTACAAAGGCATCAGCAAGGCGGTGACATAAACTGATCTGTGAGAAGCCATCTCCCTCTTGTGAATGTTTTTCCAACACTGAAATAAACAAATAAATAGAGAACTAGTCATGAAAATATGTGTACTGATTATTCTTCAAAAATAAATGTTAAACATGATATTGAAAACACACACACACACACTCACGCAGAAACCCAATTTAAAAATTGGTAATTGCTTTATATTAGCAATTTCCTTTACATAATTAACAAATACCTGTGGGTTTGCTGGAGGGTTAAGGTGCAAGTGGTGTTTGGCGGTCAATTACAATCTTGAGATTGCTGGAGTTAAAGGACTTATGTGGACTAGCAGTGGTTGCAGGCAGAGAATCACACGCTGGAGTCACTTTTTGAAGGTTGTTTTTCAAGGAACGTATTTGCAGACCAGGCTTCAAATCTGAAAAATTTCAAATTATACAAGTAAAATGTCAAATCCTAACCTGAAAATGTTACATACACTCAATCAACAACAACAGTTCAATCAATAAAACTGTCATGCAATACTTCCTACCTGATAACAGTTGATATATACTGTACTTCAAATTAACGACCGTCTTGAAAATGGCCGTTTAAACTAAGCATGCGCGATGGCGTTGTCCTTGTACAAATGTCCAATGGGTCTTTGAAAGTTGACCTCACATTCGCTATAGCCGCAGTGTATTATGGGTCGAATAGCCATTGTGGGTGCCAGTATTTGCGTGTGGCATTATCTTTGGTAATATGGGACACTCGTGCCGTGTGAAAGGCTGTCATACTCAATCACATGGTAGAAATGGCAGAAAGGTGGACCACAACATAAGATTTTTTTCGATTTCCCACTTGGGAAAAAGGATATGGACAGCAGGTAGAGGAGGTAACGAAGAGGCGTCGGATAGCTGAATATGCATTATTTTGTCTTATAGAGTTGGTATTTTAACATTGGTTAACCTACGCTAGCAGGCTAGCCTCACTACGGATGGGTTAATCTGTTCGTGTTAAACTAGCGATACAGAGTGAATGCTTTTTAAAGACAAAAGTAAACTGCAAGACTAATGACACGTTTATCAGTGCATGTATGTGTATATTCGCGTGCATGGATTATAAGCCACAATGCTGGATAAGGCTGTCACTGTGTGCTGTTCCAAACCAATGCCTAGCTGTAGTTTAAGTTTAGAAACATTTGCAAGTACAGTTTCTAATGTTTCTCATGATGTCTAGAAGGAGCTGTATAAACTCATTGTATACCGAGCCTGTATTCTGCTTGCCACTTAACTTTATTGGTCATATTTAAAATAAAATATGTCCAATTACATTTTTGTGGTGTTCTTATACCTCTTTTCCTTTCTTAAACACCTAAATTACTAGTGTGTTTTGGTAATGAAAATTGCTTATTACTGATTACACATAACATTACATTTTTGTGGAGAAAAAAAA